TTTTTATACCCCTACTTTCGCCATCCCCACCCCCTCCCCCACTCACACACACACACCACTGTAAACATTTTAATATAATTTGAAAGAGCTGAAATATGGTAGTGTCAAGAAACAATATTATGATTAATGTATGATGGAAGTTACTGAGTCAGTAGCAACTGACTTGAACGGTATAGAAAAAGAAACACTACTAGGGTCTATGCTAGAAAACAAACGGAAAGTGAGAAGCACAATAAACTGCTGGTCATGGCCTCCGGTACTTTTACTTTCTACACACCCACACACAATATCGACGTGCACTCGACCTGTAAATATGAAATAAGATCAGTACTGTATGATGGCAAAAAGTCAATTGATACTGTACCAATGACGCTGTCCCATGCAGATTAAGTCTACGATCAGATACTATAAAAAGCCGGACAAAGGTAGCACACAACAGTTTTCCATCATTATGTAATCAAACGTTCTTCATCACACTTCTTAGTTCTCATAAGACTGTTGTAACAAAGTGGGAAAGTGTGTCAAATGCTAATTATAGAACTTGGTGTCTAGCTGGGGTGACGGTGGATAAGGGGAAGAAAGTGAGGGGGTAGGCCCATTGTTTTTGGCCCAGACTCTGACAGCCGAGAGCCTGTCGCTCCTCGTTATAATTCTCCTTATATATTTTCACTAGACGATTCCTCTTTTCGCCGGCTAGACTCATGTGGGCCAGGTACGTTATTAGTGGGGAGAAAGCGATGAATAGTCACCAAACAGGAACTAAAGGTGGCTACAAATTAAATAAACAAAAAAAGATTAGTGCCATGCTAACAATAAATGTTTTGATGATAGTTAGAGAAAGGCTGAATGATAAGTACATGTACATGTATTGCTGATGAAATATTTCATGTGTGTGTGCTGCTCAAGACTCAAGACAGTCTCATTACCGATTTTGTAAACAACACGGAGGCCAACTTGGCAATCAAGGGATGTTATATTCGCTCTTAGTAGACTTAGGGCAGTCGATGGATTTATCCACCCGCCGTGTTCGTTTTGGACTTTGTCCTCGTACGGAAGTTCCGCGACGTGACGGCTTGACCGGAGACGATTTAAAGTTACGAGCCGGTGCGATAAAACAGCAGTGAATCCCACTTGTCTATTTGAATGCCTTCAAATCGGCAAGGTGCTTTTCGAATATTGATAAATGTTTATTTGGATTTACTTAAAACTGAATGAAAATCATCATCAGCAATAAATCTCTTGTCAACAGTCCAGCGGACAAAAAACACCGACAAACCGCCCCTGGCAACAACCCTGGTTTTATGATAGGAAAGATCTACACCTTGTCTTCTTGGACAAGGGCGAAAAATCTCGGAGGTCCCGTGTGCAAGCTGCGCACGTTAAAGATCCCTTGGTGGTAAAAAAATCGACAAGGGTAGGCTTCGGCCGCCACCCGGGCAAAATTCAAAATTTCCTACCAACAGAAAATGTTTAATGTTTCCCGCATGCACATATGACCCTATGCAGTTGCGAGCGCCGTAAAACACTTACCAAAACAAACCAAAGAAAATCAACTCACTCACTCACTCACTCACTCACTCACTCACTCACTCACTCACTCACTCACTCACTCAGGTTAGTTATATTAAGCGTTTTACGGCAGTAACAACACAAATTGATCATATTATAAGTGCCGAAAATAAGAGCTATATCCATTTCCAGCTTTAAAATATTGGCATTGTTCAAAATTATTTAACTAAAGAAACAGCCAAGACATTAATAACAACACTGATTTTATCAATATTAGGATCGTGGTCTAGAGGTGTTCCCCTCTCATTCAATAAGACCCGGGATCGAAACCTGACAGCAACGGAAAATTTTCTTTTCTTAAATGTTTTCCTTTCACCTCCTTTCCTGCTCTCAAACCTTGTTCTGTTGTCTGCTTTCGTCTCCACCCACCCTCAAAGAGAAAGACCTACTAGTGACACCCCCCAAGCACCCACACAGTTCATGTCAAACCATTTTGCACAAAAGCGTTGTGGGTCCAAAAAAAGCAGAACCTGATGGAACGCCGTAGATTTTTTTCAGTTTGGTAAGAGTTTCCATAATTTTATCACTATGAGCGCGGGACTCGAGTAGGTTTAATTTCCTGTGTTCGTTCAAAGCACGGCTTGGTTTTGGGGGCTCTCGACGTGGTCTAGAGGTGTTTGCCTCTCATTCAATAGGACCCGGGAGCAAAACCTGACAGAGACGGAACATTTTTTTCTCTCAGGTGTTTTCCTTTCACATCCTTTCCTGCTCTCTAACCTTGTTCTGTTGTGTGCTTTCGTCTCCATTTTCAACCCTCCCCCCCTCGTTTTCCCCCTCCTCTGGGCTCCTGACTCATTCTGCAGCCTTTCTACTTTCTACCGCTACTCCCTGGCTCCTTCTCACTGCTCTGTCTTTCGGTCACCTCGACCGCCAGCCGGGCAAAATTCAAAATTAATTCTTGCCAAACTAAAAATGTTCAATGTGTCCCGTG